TAACACAATGGATAGATGGATGGATGAATATGTAACACAATGGATAGATGGATGGATGGATATATAACACAATGGATAGATGGATGGATGAACTTTATTGATCCCAAACTGGGAAATTCCAGTGTTACAGCAGCAAGGTATGAGGCACATAACACACTAAGCAAGATGTAAAAAATATACGTTGAAAACTATGTAAAATAGCCACCCCTAACATAATCCTATTTTCCTTTTTTTTAACATTTGAATCATCAGTGTAGGTTATTTGAGGACATGTTGTGAAATATTCATCCTGCTTGTTTTAGACCTTTATAGAACCCTTATGAATATTCTGCTCCCCTGTATCTGTGCTGTATCGACCGGACGCTCTCTGGTTCTCATGCCTTGCATCAAAGCCAAAGATCCTGTCAGCAAATGCAACTCTTGCTCAAGTTCCTTTTACTGGCTAGATAAATGTGGCGTGTTGATTTTACAGGCCTCTTAAGAACTCTCATGGCTGTTGAATTTATCCACTGATTAATTTTTGTGGCCTGCTGTACCCATTCAAAATATTAACTGTAGTATTTACCTTGAACATCCTTGGCTCTGTGTGAGTATGAGGTCAGAGTACACAGAGCTGATCACATGGCACAGGAGACAGTCAAGAGTAAAGTGCAACTCCCTTTATCAGACGTGTGTCGCAACTCACCTTCCACCGGCAACATGGGAGCTCTCTAAGCTCGATACCTGCATCACTTCCAGGTTGCATGTCAGTTAGTGTGACTGACTCATCGTAAAGCGCAAGTTTATGACACATTTTATTTCTTAGCAGCTCAGAGATGTGTGTTGTTTCCCCGCAACTTCCTATGGGCATGTCCCCAGAGAGCATCTGACAGGAAAAAAGAAATCTGGGTCATATGAGCGCTGGGGAAACAGTCGTAACTTCCCTTAATCGATGTCATTAAAGGAAAATTTGAGTGATGATATTTATCTTAAACCGGTGGAACAACTTCAATTAGTTTTTTGGCAGAAGAGGAAACTATTGTACAACGTTTGCATGCACAAGTACAAGAATAGTCAGAGACTTCATGCCTGTGTGCAGATCCTATACTGCACGTGTGCATGTTTTTATGAATTGACATGCAGGACCTGCAGTATATACAGCACATATGAACTATACTGTGTGTTCTCAAGGTGATTGCAGTGGTCATGGATGTCTTTACTGATGTCGACATCTTCAGAGATTTGCTCGACGCTGGTTTCAAGAAGAGGGTTTCTGTCTACATCCTGTTGGAGCGCACAAGTCTACCTCATTTCCTGTCCATGTGTCAGAGGGCCAACATGCACGCCGGGCACCTCAAGGTGAGCCGGTACCACCCCTCATCTCTTGGTACTTTCTGCACAGTGAGATGATGTCTAGCCTTATTGAAAACGTCTAAATTAATAATAAAATGAGAACATAATCCATTTAGGGCGCCGGAAGTGTTTGCGGTCAGTAAATTACACAGCAATTTTCCAAACAGATTCTTATGGGGACCACATTTCATGGTAATCCTTATTTCATGATAAAATGTTATAGTTCCTTTATGTGTCACAAATGGAGAGCAACAAATGGAGAGCAACTCTTTTACCTGTGGGAAGAATTCCTACATGTTCAGAAATGCACCAATATTTTATGTGTATCTAAACCTTTTGTGCAAAACAGCCTCATTTTGAGACTTAAACAATTATCTTGTGGAAAAAAAAACAGAAAGACAAGATAAGACATGCAACTGAAGTCAAGAGATATGAATTACAAATGGAAAAGTGAAAGCACAACTCATCTGCATGTGCCCTCATCTCACCTATCCGCACTTTTCTCTCCCTCACACGCACAAGGGTTCAAACAACGAACAGCTTCCAGTTGCTGAGTTGTTCTACTTTCTCCAAGGAGACAGTTTAAAAGATCTTATATTCAAAGTGGTGTTGATCATACGTTGCTTTAAATCCGTGTTTGGCAGACGTGAGACACTGAAGATGCAAAGCCCTGTAGGAGAACACAAGAGATGCATAAAAAACAGATTATCTGCACGTGTACAAACACACATAGACTCACACATTTAAAGATTATGGAGATATAAAGAAACAGGCAGACATACTTGAATGTAAGACACAAGCTCGCTAGAGTAAAACATAAAGACAGAAAGAGGCTGACAGACCTTCAGCACCATCTGGATCTGGGCTATAGGCGAAACAACAGGAAATACCACAGTCACGTGTGACAGTTAAGGCATGACAAGTGAATGAAGCTGACATTCTCAGAGATATTGTCTGGATCCAGTTTTATTCCCTTTTCCTCAATTGCAAGTTTTTTTGTCATTGAATATCTGTTTACAAACCCACAGACAATAACACAGCTGTGCAGTTCACATGTAGCCTGAAGTTACCATAAAATAAATTTGATTAGAAATCGATTCAGTGGTTTAATGGAGCACAGTGAGGTGTTTGACTGCTGATAAACCGAGAGCAAGACTCATATCTTGGTCATATCCTTTAAAACACTGCAGGGATTTATTCTCCAGATCAAGTGTATAACCATTTAGGTTATTCACGGTACTCCGACATAAGTATTTGACATTTGACACGGGTTATCATTGTGGGTACTACGTGGTATCCCAGAAAATTCGATCGCCCGGAGCACAGCTGATACAAAATACCCCATGGTACCAAGTCTGTGAGCTGAGGCTGAGCTGCAGGTTGACCGGCAGAAGGGGAGAGGACAGGTGTGACAGCTCGAGAACAGCTTGAGTTTTTACTGGAAGTGACAACAGGAGGAGCAGGTGGAGGAGTTGATAGATAAGATGGGAGGAGGCGCTGATGAGTTAACGCCGGCAAAGAGGTGCCAGATTCCATTTGTGCAATGAGGTTTCTGGGTATTTTACACGCCTGTTACAGTGATCCTTCAAACCTGACAGATGTGTGCTTCAAGCTCAGTTTGAGGATTTTAACAAAATGGATGATGTCTCATTTCGCTGGGATGCTGTTCTCTGTTGTTTGCTGTTCGCTGGTTGTTTATTCACATAAGATTGTTTGCATGACAGTGTAAGTGATCTTCATTCACGAGTCAGAGCTGCAGAGACACACCCAGAAATGCAATTTGCTGATTTTATCTAATCACTTATCCAAAGGAATGTACTGAGGGAAACAGAAAGCAAAGGATGGGAGAGGAGGAAGTTAAGTATTTCTAAAGGGGGGGGGGGGCACACCATACAAGGAATAATATGCTGCATCAAAACAATTGCTTCCGTGAATTCTTGGCAGCTCAGGGCCTGGCTCCTCTGAGACACCTCGCACGAGAAGTTGCGACTTCAGAGAACCTCCGCCTCTGTCAAAATGTGCTGGTCAGTGTGTAAACTTACAACAGCCAAAATAATGGTGGGTGGAGGTGGCCCCAGGGTGGTTCATTGAGTTAAAATCTCCCGGTAGTACAAGAGAAAGGGACCTCAGACAGTTCAGCAGTGCCACGACAGTGGAGTTTCTTCTGGGATTCTACAATTTACACCTTGTAGGAAAATCATACGGAACCAAACATTTTGAAAACACGGTGTTATCACATTATATTTCCAGTTTATGCCCAAAAGGATCACCTTATGATTATGGGAAGGCCACATTGACTTGTCATTTCCTCCAGACATCTTGAAAAGGAGGCTGCATATTTCTCATTCATGTGAAGGAGTCTTAAAATAGGACAAATACCTTGTCATCAATGTCTGCTGCACTTACCTCTGTTCTGTCCTGAGGAAAGAAACAAAATCGCACACACTCTCTTATCTGAAATGCTGTTTTTATAACTACAACATTATACCACACGGTTGTTATCATGAATGTTAGTTAAATGTTACCACTGCCACTCATTGAAGATATTACTGTGCAGTCTGACAAAGAGACTGAGTGCACAATGTAGGAAAGCAAATAGACAAATGAGTGCACACACCCACACACACACACACAAAGGCTCTGCAAACATGAAAAGAAATAGTGTGCAAAGGCTTAGTGAGCAAATACTTTACAACATATCATCTCTAGATAAAAGTTAACAGATGTTTACGGAACTGACTTGCATTTGTCAACAGTTCAGGGTTTTTTTTGCTTTTAAATGCAACCATAGATCATAAACTGATTCCTGTCAGATAGTGTTTTTATTTGTTTAAACCCTGACCATTCATCAATGAATATTCAAAGGGGAAAATAAGGTCACCACATAAAATCATAAAAAGTCATTTTAGTTCCTTCCGAGCTTGAAACTAGATGTTATGAATATTTGTTCTGATCGTATTTTATAGGTAGATGAAGTAATTGCTGTTAACGTTGTGCAACCTTTTTGCACATCACAAGACTAATATACGCTGTGTGTGTGTGTGTGTGTGTTGCAGCACCTTCGTGTTCGCTGCTCAGAAGGATCAGAGTTCTGCACTCGGTCAAGCTATAGGGTCAAAGGGCAACTGGGACACAGATTCATGTTCGTCGATGGAGCCAAAGCTGTGTCGGGGTCGTACAGGTCAGTGTCCTTAGTGTGTGTGTGTGAGTGACAACTGTAAGGGAGGAGATAGCGTATGAAAGAAACATTATCTCTGTGTGCTCCACCTGTCTTTTGTCTGTGAGCGTGAAGTGGACAGATTTACAGATTTGCATAAAGAATGCACTGCCTCTTAATGATCTGTAGCATTCTCTTCAAACTAGATAAACTGGTTGTAAATGTATCAGGTGCACAACATAAATAAGAGTATCTGCAATGAAGTTTAGATTTGACTCTGTCCTTCTGGTTAAATCAAGACTGTAAACGTCCACATCACACACAGAGAGTCTTCCAGTTTCAGGCAGCAGAAAATAAAGGGACAGATCTACTGAAACTGATCAAACATAAAGCCATGTTTTGTATACGTCAGTGACTAGACATGAGCAGAAGTTTGATCTCTGTATCTCAGACACATTAATTGCATCTTTATTAGTTGACAGTGCTATAACAACAGGAAATATGTCACTTGGCAGACTGTGTGTAGTTTGAGTGATGGATCTATCAGCCAACTTGTGTTACCGCTGTCTACTCTGCCTCAGTATAATGTAAATGAAGAGTCATTTCTTTTTTCATGTCATGTAGTTTCACTTGGATGTCATCACGGCTGGACAGAAACCTCATCACCGTGGTTACAGGCCAGGCAGTGGATGCCTTCGACCAGCTGTTCCGCTTCCTTTACGCTAACTCCAGCTATGTTGACCTCCGGCAGGTTGCCACGGAGCCCGCACCGGAGCAAGAGCCCCTCCAACAGCCGGCCCCTGTGGCCCCTCCTTCTGCTGCTGATTTAAGGAAAATGTACAACCCTAAATATGCCGTGCTTATGGCAGGGAGCCCTAATATGACCCCGTCCTCTGGTCCGAAAGAGCCCCAAAAATCAGAGAACTCCAAGGACCCTGAAGTCCCGGGAAGCAAGAAGAGGAGGCAGAGGAAGAGCAGTAAAGACGCTCCACAGGAGGCTCCTCCCCTCCATCCTGGACTTTCCAATTTAGAAAATTTAGAAAAGGCATGCTTGATCTCATATCTACCCACCTGGCCAGAGCCTGACCCCCCTAGTGATGTAATTGGATTCATTAACATTCGGGATGCCAGCAAACCAACTCAGGTCCATCTGCAGCGATCTGAGAGGTTTGAAACAAGCCAAGCAATCAGGTTTAGCAGTCCATTCAGCATGCCCAAGGAAATCCTGCCAGAGGTCGCCCAGCCCAGACAGTTAACTCCTAATCAAGAGACGGATAAACACCAGACAACAACACAAACTAAAGCAAACGCTGAAGAGTCTGTGGTGGATGTTAATCAGGCAACACAACTGAGTGCAGAGCCTGATGATATCAAAACAAAAGAGAAATCATCCACAACGGGGCGAAAGTCTGAACCTGTCAAAGACACAAATCAGGCTCTCGACGCAGAAGGTGAACTGCATTCAAACACACCCACCAACCAAGATACAGGTCACAACACTACACCTCAGCTCAGTGCACACACGCCTTCTCAGTCCAGCAGCAACACATCCACTCCCAACACTGGCAAGAGTTCACACAGCGCACAAACTTTAACGACAAGCAGTCCTGAGCCACAGTCCCTCCCTGGATCAAACGCTGAAAAAGAAGCAGAACCTTGTTTAAACCCACAGAGCGCCGCTGTGCACAGGACACACACCCCGGAGTCGAGTGAGTCTGAACAACACACACAAACAAAGACAGAGGTGTCACAGGCAGATTCACACACGCAGACACACAACGTCCAGAATCCCACTCTCCACAGCCACATTCCCACCTCCTCTGCTCCTCCTCTGCATCCTCCGCCTGTCACTTCCACCTCCTCTGCTTCTCCTCTGCACCCTCCGCCTGTCACTTCCACCCCCCTCTCTGAAAAAAAACACATGCCCTCCACTACATCTACTTCTGTGCCCTCCACCAGCTGCTCCTCTTCCGTTCCCCCTCCTCTCTCCTCTTCTACAACGCTGCACCCTCCCCTCCCTCCGTCCTCTGCATCCCCTCCTTCGACCCTGATTGCACCCATCCCCAAACCTCGCACTGTCCGTCTGATTGTCAAACGCAGTAGCACCAGTGAAGTCCAGAAGCTGCCAGAGGAGATCCCGGCCAGCACTGGGCCAGGGAGTGAATCTGATGCAGCAAATGTTGCGCAGACGCCTCCACCAGAAAAAGAGCCGGAGAGCGTCCAACAACTGCAGAAGAGTGGAAGCAAAACAGGAGCTCAAGAGGAGGCTGAGAACACAGGAAATCCTGAAGAAGCTCTACAACAAAAGCAGAATGCGTCTTCCCAAGAGACGAAGGATGATGGAACAGTTGGACCACATGATGACAGAGCAGCAACACAATCATCCACTGAAACCAAAACACAAGCCCAGTCAGAGTGTTTGACTGCTGACGCACCAAAGGCACAGTGTATGAATGTTCAAGAAATAACTCCACAAGAAGTTGAGCAAGAGAGTTTGACGCCATCAGAAAGTGAAATCCTCCCAAAGAAGGAGAGTGGATGTGTAGCCACAGAACAGACAGACACCAAGGCACCAGAAAAAACCTTCACAGGCTCTGAGTCTGCTGAAGTGCCAAATGAAAAAGGTGAAGATGTGATACAGAGCAGAACATACCTTGCAAGAGCACATGAACCTCAGAGAATATTATACTGTGAAGTGAATGCACCTGATTCTGCCACAATGAACGCACACGTACCCAAAGACAGTCTGCAAGGTGTCACATCAGCACAGCTCACACACATGAAGCCAAAACACAACACACACATCAGTATTAACACTCAAGAATCTCAACAGACCCCTAAAGCATCGGCAGGGTCCCACACTCCTGAAAGACCCCAGCTCTCCGACACACACGTGACAGACCGGCATTCGCTGACTGCTGAGCGACAGTTGCAGCCAATTATTTCTCCCGTACGCACCCCCACTCCAGACGGATTTCTTCCACGCACGCCCACCCCTGACTCACAAATGCACACTCCAGAACCACGGGCGTTCACACCAGACTTTCGAACACCTACGCCCGATGGGTATTTCTCCCCGAGGGACTCAAATCTCTCCACCACATCGGACGAGTATTACGAATGTAGCAGTTCTCCTTTAAACGACCCCGTGTTCGACAGAGTGGGTCACAACAACTACGGGACAACAGTGGATCACGATAGCTTCATGCACACAAATCCCCCAAATACTGCAGCCTGTACTACCGCTAGTCCAGTGTACATGAATAATACTACTTGGGTTGAGAATGAAGCCGACAATGAGAAAGAAAAAGATGTAAAGATGATGAAACTCAAAGATGTTACAGAGAGGAGAGGCCACGATGAGGCCATGGCAAGAGAACGGGGACTGGTCGATGGAGGAGGAACTCTGGGAGAATTGGCCAATAACACGACAAAGGGACAGTTCACAAACAGAGCGAGACCAGACGAAGAGCAGGTAGAGGACGAGGCAGCACTGAGACCCAGCGATGTGCAGAGGACAGACAGACCTCAGTCACCGAGAGAGACTGAGAGACAGAAGGTATGAATAGTGAGACAGCAGATGCTTCCATGCAGTTGTTTGTATTGTTTTTGTATTGTTAATGATGTCTCGCTGTAATAAAACTACAATCAAGAGTTTGGTTTTGTTTTGTTGATGAGGCCAGAATATTGTGAGAAATTTAAATAATATGAAATGATGCTGATAACCACCTTTATCACAGACGGTACACTCATCTTGACTCTGGGAAAGAATATGGATACCTGCTGTATTTGCCTGTAGATTGCGAGGTAACTTCTCAATCACATCTTCAATTATGCGAAAGTGTAACTAATGCTGGGACATAGATCTTAAATTTAAATCATCTTGGTGTTCATTTTAACTTGTTGAAACCCTGTACATAGCCTGTACCATTGTGGTTCTAAAAGGTGAAGCCAGGTTAGGATAACAACTGGAAACCTGGGAGAACATCCTGGTCTACAGGTGCCTGATCGACATGTTATATCTTGTGTGTTTTATCTGTGCAGACAATCAAAGATTAGAAATAACAAACTGGTTGTGCCAGGCTGGTTTTTGGTATGAGGAGTAACTTCCTGGAATCTTTGCTGTTTGCATGGCATCGACTCGCAGCTGCCACATAACCTGCTCCCTTCAGACTTAGTCGGGTTAGCTGCACCGTGTCTCCAGTGACTGTGCTCAGCTACGTTAGCCAACCCATGAGAGAAGTGTCAACATTCTCATTTAATTTGTGCTAAGAAATCAAATGAGCGTGTCTCTTAAATTAATCTTTCAAAATTAACCATTAACCATAAGTGACAAGTTGGTTTTAT